TCTCCTCTCTCTCCTCTCCTCTCCTCTCCTCTCCTCTCCTCTCCTTGATCGTTCCTTTCTTTTGGTTAGAAAATTGTGTTTTGAGAGAAAACGAGGGATGATGTACAATGTTATATATAAGCTTAATGACTTTTCTGAGTATTTGTATAAATCATTGTAGATCTTTCCTCGTTTTCTCTTAAATTACCAAAGAAATTAGTAATCCGCAATATTACTATTCTGCTGTAACATTTTCCAAGACCTGGTTTTAGAGCCTCCAAAGTACGTAATTCTATTTAAGTAAAATTTGGAAAAATTATTTTATTTTAACAAATTATAAGGCCCTAAGTGGACAGAAAGGGATTGCCATTTCTCCATAATGATGTAGAAAAGGAAAGTAATCCGTTTAAGCTTAACGGCTAAAATAGGCCACTTGCATATATTACTAAGACAGAGATTAATACAGCCTAACCCCAGCATGAGTACGCATTGTTACTTCGCGACACGGTGTGTTTTCCTCTAATCGATTATATTATACATGTCGCTTTCTTTGTCTCACAAGTCACCCAACTGATGGATCTGCACATGAGTACCTTGAGAGCCGAGTGTGTCTAGTCCTACGGTTGCCATCTCTCCGGATTTGATCCGGAGACTCCGGGTTTCGTAGACAATGTTCGGGCTCCGGGTTATATACAAAATGTAATACGTTTTTATACTTTTTAAAAAAATGTTAAATCTGTGTTGAATAATTTTATTTTATCGAATGGTTTTATATAAATTACAATAAATTACAGAAAATTCAGACAATTATTGTTTTTATTTGCAAGTGTTTTCAGATGTAAGTGATATATGCATAAGAAAACATCTGTAATTTTCAGTATTTGTTCTTAAATCATCAATTCGAATCTTCAATTCGACTTATGGACCGATAATAGAAACAAGATGAGGGCAGAATTAGTCAAAGCGGAGCTGTTGACTAAGTTGAATTATGAAATGACATGCGGGTAATTTTTCAGATTCATTGGTCAACAAGGCCAAATCAAATTGCTAAAGAAAGCGCTGTCAAATGAAAAATATAGATCGAAATAGATCGCAAAACCGTTATTTGGGATTAGTGAAGAATACTGATTTTGTGATGAATGTCTAGTCGAACAGAAATATAATAATTTTTGTAGTAATTAATGTGTTATTAAAATTATAAATGTATTATTATTAATTAATCGTAAAGAAGTCCTGCATTCTTTTATAATAAATGTTGATTGTGAATTTGAATATTTCATTTACTGCACCTTCACCTCCTCCCTCCGGTAATCAATCATGTCCGAGTGGCTTCCATCTCGAAAGTGGCAACACTATCTAGTCCGGATCGATGCTACGCAAGTGTAAGACCCGCTAAATTATCAACTAAAAAAATCTTGATTTTCATAAATTGTAAAAAAAAAAAATTAAAAAAAATGCTGTTTTTTAGTCATCCCGTCATTGGTTTTATCTAGGTTTGACTATATTTAAATTCAAATTTTCAACGACGAAATGTGTTCATGATGAACCCGTGTACAGAATTTTCAATTAAATTGAAATTCCCTGATCGAAGTGGGCGTCTTGATCTCTTGAATTTGAAACTTCTTTTCAATTTTGGTATACTTTACACAAATCCCATGATTTTCACAGTCCTGTATCTTAGTACATGATCTAAATTTCCGTACCGTAAACCGAAGTTCATTTGTGCCGCACAAATGACTTTTTTGCCACCGCGCCCTAGAAAACTATTGCCTTAAACTAGCCTAGTACGTTGTGTTACCTCTACCGGAAGCGTCGGTGGATTCTTAATACACCTGATAAGTGGCACTATCTATTACATCATTTAGGAACTGCATTCTCATTATTGTGTTTCCGCGATTTTAGTTCTTAATTTTTTGTCAATTGACGTTGTGCCTGTGGACCTCGGAAAATTTGTGTTACAACTCAAGAGGACCTACAGTAAATTTAAGAAGAATAAAGTAAGTGCACTGTTTTACAGGATTATTCATTAATCTAGTGCTGTAGTATTTACTCTGTGACTTATTTTTTTTTTGTATTTGATAGAGAAATCAAATGTTGGAAAATGAAGGGGTGTCTTTGTGCCTGTGGCTTTTGAATATTCATTGCAATATTTTTGACACCTCTTTAAATTAGTGAAATTATACATTTAATATCTTGTGAAAACGAGAAATAGTATGATTAACTATTAATGCATATTATGATTCCTCCAGTAATAGCACTCATTATCTTCTCAATCGATAACAATAGAATAATTTGTAAGGTAGTAGCAGTATGAAGGAGAGCTCATTCCTGGACAAGTCACTGACGTTTCTAGTAATTCAGCGCATGCCTTACAGAAATCCAAGGGATTTTGAATAATATGGCTGCAGAATAAGGATGAATTTCTTTTGAATATGAATATATAATCCGGAAAATTCAAACCCTAAGTTAAAATAAAAAGTAGGACCCTTCACTGTTCCAAAGCTAAATAGCATTTGGGGGATATTATGTTTTCTGTTATCATTACAAATGACAAAATGCTTCCTTAATAACTGAAAAAAGTCCTCATTAAATAATGTTTTAAACTTTGTGATTCTCTTTGATTCGTTCCTTTCCTACAAAGCAATTATGAAGATGAGGGAAACTACCAAACATCGTGCAACATCAAGCAATAAATCAAGTGGCACAAAGTCACCTCATCTTATGAGGTGACTTTATGCCAAGTTTAGGTAACATTTTTTGTTCAAAAGCATTTATTTAAATAATTGTCACGACATAAAATAGACAGCATGTTTTTAAATTTTGTGCACTTCTATAACTTTGTTAAATACATGAAAACTAAACGTTATTTACTAAAATCTTTCAAAAGTGGCTCAAAACCACCTTAGTTTACGGTACTTGTATAAAACTGTCAGGGAAACTATATTTCCCCCCCAAATGCACAGATATATTTGTATCTCAAACACAGAGTAAGGAAGATTGAAGGAAAACTGTAAAAAATGCCTTTTTTGGCCTTTTTCTCCCTCAAGATAGTGGAAAATGCACAAGGAAGAGGAGGTCAAAACTTGTACATTTTATTTTAGATGAATACATACTACAACAAATCTGAAAATCAAAGTACTTCACCTTTTGCAATTTGAAATGACATCTTTACTGGACTCTACATAGTGAGCAGGTTTTAAACTGTTCATTATTATGCAACTACAATCAAATTGTATACACACTACCTACCTCAAAAATGGTGTTTTGAGTTTCTATAAGGTAAAATGCATAAAGCAATAAAAAACGTTCTGGAATTCTGCATAAACTGGAATTGGGAAGCACGGATGTATCTGATGTTAGTCGTTATGAATATCAGCTTTCCAAATAAATCTCTCTGATTCCAATTGACATCATGAACAAATTTAGGAAAGAGCATAGGCATGTACGAATAGAAATACTAATATTCAAGTTTTCATAAAGTTATCAAAAATATTGGAATATTATACCTGTCTTCCCTGCAATACTGATACATGAACATAATGTTGCATAGCATAAGATATTACAGCTACCTTGTATATTCCTGCTATCGTTTTGGATATAATGAAGGAAATAAGAAATCAAGTAGTCCACAAAGAAATGGTATGTAAAGTATATTTAAAAGTATTTGTGAACTCATTTCATGAGTAATACACAAACATCGTAATGTATCCATAAATAATACATGTTTATATAATATATGAAGAAAGTACTTCATTATTTTGCCAGTTGTTAACCATTTAGCCTTGTAAAAAGTTAATGCCAAATGAATGATTTCTTTTTATTATAGAAGCACGTAGGTTCTCTCTATTTTAATTGTACAATAAGAACTCAATGACATTAAATGTAGATGTATACTGAAAGATTTTTGGAGTTCAGTGTATGCATGTACATGAAGTTGAAATACATCTCAATGATTCTATTGAACAATGATATTATTAAGAAGGTGTAGTATTGAAGAAAGAAATTATCTTAGAATTTAAATGCCCAAAGGGACCATGTCCCTGCCGTGTACACAGCTTGAACCTTTTGACCTCATTCCGTCACCTCTATCCCTTGAAAAGTAAAATGAATTGGAACTATAAAATTGAGCGTTATGTACACATTTGTTATTTGATGCATGGAGTATTTCCCTCCATTAGAAAATTAAATTATTGTATATGGCAAATGGCATGAACTTAACAGGTTCCAATGCTCACATTACACACTTAAAACACACATTAAAAACTTTATTTGCACAAAGGCATGCAATTTCACTACTTTCTCTCTCACACATACACTCATCTGCACAAATTCATTTACTCTCTCTTTTGTGACTGAAGTTTTCATTTTCAGAGAGGCTCGATCACTGTCTACTTTCTGTAAAATGTAATTTATGAAATGTAAAATTCATGGCAAAGACAGTGCTGGTAATAGTTTTCTGTTTGCCTTTCTTGATTTCATGCAAGGGTCAAAACAGAGCATTACTATAATCATGATGAGCCTTGCCATTTGTAGAAAGATGAAAATATATATGAACGATGATGAATTAGGTATTAGATGACCAGATAAGCGAATTAAAGATCTGGTCCCACAACTTTCCTTCTGATATATCTTGAGAAGTAATCAGGCTTCCAGCATTTGCAACTTCCTGGCACAAGGAACCAGTCATAATACAGCCGAACCTGAAATAAAATGCAGCGTTGTTAGATGAAAATATTAAAAAATGATTATGGTAATGCTGTGAACACAAATAACTTCACCATTAATTACAAAAATTTTAATTATAAGTTGCTTCACTTAACAATAGTATAAAGATAGAGGGATGTTTTTAGAGCACCAAGGCATTTTCTATCTCTAAAGTTACTGAAACAGAATGGGCTATCTATGTCATTTCCCATCATGATCTGTCTTCCATATTGTTTAATTTTAATATTAGTTTTAATATCAGGGATCTTGGAGGGGGTTTTGTCTCTAAAATCAATTTTAATGTACATATTACAGGTGCAGATCCATGGGGAGAAAATTTCCTCCTCTAAAATTTTTCAGAAATTAACTATTCATTTTCACTTGTCACAAAACTTTCAAGCAAAAATATTTTTGGATAATCATTAAAACAAATAGAATTGTATCATAGCATGAGCTAAGTGTAGCCTGCGACATTTTACAAAATCTGTAATATGACACATGACCAAAACTTTTTAATTCCAACCCGAAATTCATCTCTGGATCCGCCCCTGCATATTGCAGATCAGTGAATTAAGATCTATGTTCTCTGGGTTGATTTTACACAACACCAAATCCTTCGGGTCCAATGATAGCTTATTAATTCTTTATAAAACTCAGATTTGTTCCATTGCAGAATGCGCCTTTGTCATTTGGTCATCTTACACTAAATTATGGAAAAAGTTCAATGGAAATTCCTGCGCCACCTAGCTTTCAGAAATGAGACACCAATCCATTGATTTGATCATTACCTTTCCAAATTTTACATTTCATTTCAATTGGAGATTCTTCAGGATAGAAGAAAATTCTATGATTTAATTTTTTATCATAAAATACTACATGATCTCATTGATTGTCCTGAGCTTCTTTCTCTTATCTCACTTCACACCCCTCAGATGAGAATGAGAAACCCTACTTGTTTCTGGGTGAAAGCATATTCAACAAACTACAGCTATTGTAATATCTTGAATAGAGTTTCAGAACCGCCAATTACTATACTGAAAGGATTGATTTTTCCAATCATTACTTTAAAAAAATTTTTAGTTGCCTTAAACATTTTTTACTCTTTGATCCTAAATCTAATTAAGATAACATCTTTAATTCTATGATTTAATTAATTCCATGACTGCATCTTCTACTTTTATTATTCTCTGATACTCAGTGTGAGGCAGTTATTTGGATTGCTTTGTGTTCTATATTCTTTATGTAATTGGCTTTATGTATTTTTATAATCAGCATTCTTGCTGTGTAATCTGCGTGACAATAAGAAATTGTATTTTTAAGGGATGTCTTTTTTTTTCTTTTTTTGCTATGGAAGTAGCAGAGTACACTACTAATTCAGTTGGGCATTTTCAGTAATCTCATTTCATGAGTACCTGAAAGCATCCTATTTCGTCTACTCCATCACAATGTGAAGGCTTTCTGGGTGGTGCAGTTGTTGAGGACCCAGTTGCTTCAGGAGCAGCCCCTGCTCTTTTGTGTAAATATTGCTGATAATTCTGAAAGTCTTGTACTGGTGGAGGGCTATCTGCTGCTACAGGGTTTCTGTAAGCTGGCCAGCGAGCTCCTGGGCCAGCTGCAGGGAGGTAGGTGTCAGGGTAGAAAATTTCAGCCACAAGCAGGCTCACCCACCGCGGTGAAGACAGACATCCTCCATCCATGTAATGACACCGAGATTGTCTGTAATATGACATCGGTTAATGAAGCAAACAGAAAAAAGACAATATGCTTATAGTTTTGGAGAAGCATTGAGAGTATATTTCAATAAAAAAAATCTTATGTGCAGTTTAACATGTTTATCAATCATCTTTCTTTGCATTAAATCATAAAATATATAATTTGGATCTGTTTTTGTCATACACATGAACCTTGAGGCAGTAATGAATGTGCAAGAAAACAAAATTAAGAAAACATTCTCCTTTTTAAATGATTTTTTTACAATATTTATTAATGTAATTCATAAAAATATACTTACAAGCATCTTGTGACTTCAAGAGTTTGAGTAAAATATCCTTCATATGGAATTTGTACTACATATCTCCAAACACCTTGATAATTCTTTGCAAAAACTGGTGTAGCGTATTCCACCTTTGCCGGACAAGGTGTAGGTGGAAGATGAACAGGTGGTGGAGGAGGGGGAGGAACTTCTCTTCTGTATTCAATTGCATCACTATCTTCTCTTCGTTCAATTCCTGAATTCATTGACTCTCCACTGAAGGCTTTGTATATCATACACATTCTGTAAGAATAAAAAACAATTGGCACTATTTTAGCATACACAATACTTTTGTAGATACTTTATGCACTAAAGAAATAGATATATTATGGTTAATGTTAATGGATGTAATAAAACCTCAAATATGCATGTTTTCTGAACATGACCAAAAGCAAATGAGATTTAGTTTAGAAATGTGAAAATTATCTATTAATAAGACAATTCTATGAAACAAAATCTAAAACTGAGGAAATACTAATTCCTGGCAGTGATAATACGAAAGAAATCAAAGCTCAAATACTATGCAGCAATATCTTTTAAAGTTGCTGGTGAAAATATATGCATGTAGAGAAATAGAACCCATTATGAATAGAAATGTGCATATCTCCAAAAGCAGATATTAAGTTCTTCCTTATAAATAGAGCCTGGAAGTTTGGTAAAATGCCTTTTTGTTATTTTTACTATTTTATGACTTTTAACAATAGGAATAACTTAATTGTGCTTCTGGTGTTGTTTTTAGTAGCTTTTATTTTGCCTTTTTCTCTGTTTTTGCTTATGATGTCTATTTTTGCCATTTTGCCTTATTTTTTCCTTTTTTGTTATTATTTTGCTTATTTCTTTCTCCTTGCACCAATCATAATCAAGTTGGATATATTCCTGCCAGCCTGGACAACCCAAAGGCATGGTCGTGTTCTGTCTTTCTGTGGAAGCAAATGCTGTGATAAAAATCTGAGTGAAAAAGGAAAATAATGCCAATCATGATTTGATTTTTTCATTGATGCCGTCCCGCATCAGGCTTTCTTCGCTCACGAGAAAATTTCATTCGGCGTGTTGGTATGACCACTGATCCTTTTGTGGACAGCCCTGTATATATGATGTGAACTTCTCAGTATTGGTGATAACACAAGTGGAAAGAACGAAAAATATAATTCCATTTTCACTAACGGCATTTCAAGTTTCAAAAGGGATCTCACAGTAGCGTGTTGAAGAGACAGTCTCGTGATAAATATAATTCATGGCCATTATACCATGTTATCATGTATAATCAAAATTACAAAGAAAATTTTATTTTCTTTCACATTAACTGATAATGTAAATTTTAGAGTTTGAATAGCTTTAATTATTTAAAAAAAAAATTTTTACATGCCTTTTTATACCCCTACTTTAGTGAGAATAAATGCTTTTTTTGAAAGCCTATTTTAGTAAAAATAAATCCTTTTTCGCCTGCATATTTTAGGTAAAATAAATGCCAGAACGTTCAGGCTCTACTTGTAAAGTTTTGATGAATTATTGAAAATGCTAATGATTACAAAAGTGAAATAGCTAAATTAGGTGAGATTAATACAGATATTGATAATAAGAAATGCAATGATTTGATAACTGTATTTAATACGTATCATAATACTGACATAAGCCTACCCAATTACTAGTAACTCTGGAACTTATATCAACCACGTTACAACAACTTTTTATGAAAACCATTACACTGCTCATGGTCAAAATTTCAACATAGCAGCCCATTTTGGACCTCGACAGATCTGAATTTTATACAATTGAAGCCCTCTAAAGACACATTCAAATTCACACACAGAAGGGGTTCTGAAGAAAACAAACGAAAAAAACTAAATTAATTGTTAATAAATGAAAAAGCAGAAGAAGGGAAAAAATCCCAAAACTTCATTTCTTTTCTTCCTATTTGCTTTTCCCATTTCGTCTGGGGCTACCATGAATTTATCCCTTGTCTCCTGAATAAATGCAACTGCATCTACTCTAGTTTCTCTTGAATTCTTTATGTTCTTTATAAACAGTTGACAGCAAATATTATTTCAGTGGTGTACAAGTACGGTACAGTACGGTACGGTACTTGTATGCCGTCAGTATTTTGAAATACATTGTACTAACGTATTTGAAGCAACAAGAACGTTCATGGTTTCCATTAATAAATATTTTTTACTTGGAAATTTATATTTTTGTGTTATTTTGGATGAAAAGTTGAACAATATGAAAAACCTTTCATTTATATAAATCTGCAAAATAGCCCATATATGCAAAACATTTCTTATCGTATTTTTTATATTTTACCATGAATCATACACGTGTAAAGTTTCAGGAAAATGAGACAATTAAGAAAAAAATATCCAATTGCATGAACTTCCCAGCTATACAAATGACCATAGCAGTTGACGTGCGCGTAAACAGGAACTAATCATTTTTAGTGAATTTAGTTTAGGATTCAGCATTAAGATTTAGGCAGCATAGAGTGAAAAAGGCAGGAGCGGGGTGAGGTAAGAGCACTCACATGCCGCCGCCGTTCTCGCAGAACTTGCGACCCTCGCGGGCCTCGTCCAGCGATCGCGCCTCCGGCCTCGGCCCGGCCCCCGCCAGCACTGGTGGCGCCGCCGCCGGCTCCTTTTGCGTCTCCTCCTCCTCCTCCGCCGGCGCCGCGGCTTCCGCCGTCTCTTCTTTCGGCCCCTCCGCCGCCATCTCCGCCTCCGCCGCCGTCTCCGCCGGTGGCGCTTCTCGTCTTCGACGCTGGGGGCGCTCGTACCCCGTCGACAGCCTGCGCACACCAGGGTGGTGATTCCACAGAGGGGGTCAGAGGAGAGGGTTCTCCAGGTGGATGGCGTGTGCCCACGGCCGCGTGACTTACAGGGGATTTGCGCTTTAACAATAATGTAATTAATTGATGACTGCTTAAGGGCTTTTGTTTCAGGCCTTTATACGTGTTATAAAAATCGAAGAGTATAGTTAGAGCGTTTACATGATTAAAATATTAATATCTTATCGATTCCTCAGCTTGTCCGATGACATAAGTTGAGAGTTAGTCATATAACAGTCGAAACGATCCTTTTTTAGGGGGGTGATATTTTGTTTTAACAAGTAAAGGTCTGAAAATATAAATTTCTGAATCTGACTTGATAGACTAAAAGAAAAAAATTGTTTTCCATATCAATCCCTGTGTTATTTTGTCTACTTCATGACTTAAGTCTTTGAATCTAACACTCTAGATATGTCTAAAAGCATGAACATCATCTGGAAGTTCTTTGGTGAATCCAAAGGGATGGGGACGAGTTTTGGTAGCGTTAACTACTCTTTCAAGACTAAAAATCAAGGGTTTCTTACAAGAACCAAACTAGTCCAAATTGGAGATTTTTCAGGAGGCACCAAAATCTTCGTAGTGTAGACGTGCATAGAAATGAATTTATGATTTCCGCCTTATATCTTTCGAAATGTTTGACATTTGCCGAAAGGAAATGTCCAAGCAGATTGTGCCAGTTGGAGGTAATATCTCAAAATATGGAATTTTGAACTTGTTTGATTCTTGCAAAGCCCCCCCTCAAATATTTACTGTATTAAGTAATAGGTTTATATTTTGAGACAAGCAACATAATTTTCAAACGTTTTGTAAACGTTACAAAATAATTTAACCACTTGAAATTAATAAGCTTCTCTTATTTTTCGATTATGTTCTGCTTTTATTTCCGTTGAAAACTGTGAAATAGACTAATTTCTCGATTATTACTAGTAGTAGTGCAAGCAAATTGCTGAGTCAAGAAAAAAATAATTTTATGGGCTGAACAATAACTGTTGTGTCTTCATCTCCCCCTTGGACTTTTTCTTGATTTATTTTTGCACTGTAGCTAACAATCTATATTCCCTTCTTTACCAACTTACTAATTTATTAGCATTACACAAATGATTAAGAAATATTATTAGTTCCAGTAATCAAGAGTAAATGTTTCTACTTTTCATAATCATTAGTAATTATTAAATTGCAATTTTTACACTTGAAATGAGAGACTTCTAGCGATTTTTTTGACTTACGTATTTTGTGACACGTGATAGGATGCTGGGGGTTCCTGGTAGTATTTTGCGACTTTGGGAAGAGACTCGTCTGCCTTCAAGATAGGAAGAGTCTTGCTGAGGAACTGAAGTGTTTTATTTTTCAACAGTTCACTGAAACAGAAGAGGGTTATTGTCACTTAGTATATACTCGCCAAAACTCTCATTTTGCTGGCTTGCCAGTTGCCTCGAGATCGACCTAGTGCTCGTCGAATCGCTGCCAAGTGATTTCATTCATTTTATACACTTTGTGTACACAAACGAGTTCACATATAAAGTGTGTAGACATGTAAATAGAGGTTTAAAAAAAACAACTTTGAGTCCCTGAGAAAAGCAGAGCAAATCAAACTGTAATAGCAATGTACAGTAAAATAAAAAGAAAGAAAATTATAGTATTTTATTAAAATGTGAACCAATTACATTTAAAAAATCTTAAACGTGATTTATATAAAATTGTTTTTTTTTTCATTTTCACAAGAATTGTAAATGAACAAAGCTTGGGCAACGGTGAATGTATTGCTGGTGATCAATATTCAAAGGAAACTGGCTACACACCAGTAATAAAAAAACAAATTTGTGTACAATATTCTGATGTTTATGTCATTGAGAAGAAACGCGCATCTTTTTCCGCCACCGACTTAGGTGGATCTGGGCATGAAATGATGCCACTGCAGTGCCTCAGATCGAGTCCCTACGTCCCAGCGTTGGCAGGATTTTCTAGAAGGCTAGGTCGAAATTTTGATAGTTTGATAGTCGAAATTTCTGATAGTTTTGATAGTTAACTCACTTTTTACAAGAATAATTCTGAAATTAAAAATATTTACAGTTTTCAATAAATAAATTATTGTATTTAAGAAACAACTTTGTTGAATATATGAAACTGAATTACCATGAGACAGAATTTCTCATCGTGATTCGTAGAACCACTGTTAGTTATTAGAATTAAATAAGGGCTTGCAAAACTTACAAAGGGTAGGGGCTTCCTAGAACGTTCTGGCCCATTGGATTTCTCGGAATGTAGCCCTTATTGAGATCTCCACACAGATTGTTGAGTGACTTTGATGTTGGCGGAGCATGTATTCCTGAAAAAAAAAAATCAATTTTTTCAAGACGATTCAAATTCAGGTCTTTACCAAAATAATTTTCGTCTCCACTGTTTCCAGTTCAAAAGATAATTCAAGAAGACCTTTCTTGACCACCTGATTTGATATAATTTCATTACTGATTAGTTGCGGTAATGTGTAACCCTTTAGAACTTACGCTTCTGAGGTCAAATCGGTAAAATAATTACTTGTATTTACAGCTAATATTATGAGGAACACGTTGTTGTGAAATGACTCATTCTATATATTGTCATGCCTTGAATATATGCGGCTCTTAGGTAATCTAACGTATGAACCCTTAAATAGTCGTGTGGGGACTGTATGCGTTCCCAGGCCATTTGTGATGACGCCAAATAAAATATTGTACGCACATTATAATCTTGCCCGACCGGGAATTGAACCGAGGTCACGTCATGGAAAGCGAGTACGCTGACTAATGAGCACTATCAGACTTGTAGCAATATATTGAAGTATACAATCGAGTTTTTCTGATAAGCCCAAAGTACATTTCTGCAATATATATGGGAACTGTTGAAAGGAAATTTTTGTTGTTATGGATTTTTAATATAGAATATATTTTGTTTTTCACAACAATTCTATATTTCAGTAAATTGTTATGTATTAAAACATTGTTCCCTCGATGAAGGAATATAACACCAAATATCGCTACAATGTACTACACATACGTAAGGTACGGGCAACTACCAACATTAGGGCAGCAGTGAAATTAAAAAAAACCAAAACACAATGTTATTATATACAGACGACTTAAAAAATACAACGATAAAACATTACTTCTTTAAAACTGGCATAAAAACATACACTGTGTGAAAAAACGCTGCAAATGAAAAGACAAGGCAGGATAAGGAGCAGGTCTCAATAATCAGGTGATTGGCGGGCCTCACCACCACCTGCCAATCTACAGCTTTTTGTTCCGTTCTGTTTTGGGGCTGTAACTCGCTTAGTGTTAGGTTAAAAAAAAGTAATTTTTATTCTCTTTGAAATTGGGTGTACTTATTTAACACAATCATCTACTAAACAGCTTTGTCCGATTCGGCTACTGTTCCAGCTCAGTCCCCATTACACGCGGCAAGGTTGAATAATTTGGTTTGTAAATATTACTCCCTCGCCACCACCCTTCTAGGGGTACCTTACCCCCAAAGTATGATTTTCTCCACAAAAATTCCAGAGTGACAATGTGTACTAAATTTTGTTGAAATGAAATGTTCCCGCGTTGAAGAGTTAAGCTAGAACACGAACACATATACACATCCATAGTTTTTTTGTAATTTCGACAGTGGATACATTTGTGAGGCATTATGTACACCGACGTCGATATACACAATAATATTGCATGTAATAATAATTCTATTTTTTGTAGCTTGATTGTATAATATCACAAACGTTTTTTGTACACATTTTGAAGAAATGAAAAAGTAGCGTTTTCTGAAACGCTATAGCTCGCTTCGTAATGTATATCGAAAAGTTTTATATAAAAGTTGTAGGAAATTTAAAATTCATTTCAGTCATTTTTCTACTGGACTTAATGCAAAAGAGTTGTAGAGAAAACACAAACAAAAAGAGTCTGAAGAAATGCCGGTCTTTCAATCCTCCGGGTGTTAGCACAGGGTCTGGGAAGTAGAAAACTTGGAGGTTTAACTTGTGCCTGGGTACATATAACATATCTAAAGAGAAATGTTCTATGGCCGTCTCCCAGGTAACACCCTTTTTTCAGCCCCTGCCTACTGAACTAGTTAATGTTCTCGTTAATGTGCTTAAATAGATTTCATTCTTTGTGATGAGGAACTGCCGCAACCTCCATGTACGCTCGAATTTCTCCGTTATATTACATTAAATTGAATTATTTGTGACGCTACTTAATAAGAATTAGAATTACTGATCATGTTTTTCGTACTTCAACAAAATTAACTTATATGTAGAAGTTAGCAACGTAACATCACTTAGATTACATTGCGTTTGAAACAATTAAAATTCATTTATAAATCTTATATTTTAAAAATTAACATTTATTCTAGAAAATTGAACGGAGAATGAAATGCAAAACGACAATAACTGTCTTTTTTCTCGGGAAATCAATGAAAATTATATCAATTCGTATCCTTGACATACAACCGGAGCCATCACTAGGTAGATTTACACTGCTTGGAAGGGGTTTGGAATATCACCCTTTTAACTGTGCGTTGGCACCGATTTATATAATATTTAGATGTCAAAATCTTCATATGAAACATGTTGGTAATTAGCTTCTTTGGCTTTGCAAGGCCTCGGTTGTTAGTAATAGAAAAAAGAGAAAAAGATTGTGGAAGACAGGCATTCCCATGCTACTCCTGATGTCATGAAACGGCACGCGACTTACAACGTGTTAAAATATGTGAGAGTCTGCTCGTGGGGGCAGTGAAGTGATGCGACATTGAAACATCGATGTAGCCAAACATCGATTTTCAAAATTAAATCATCGATGTTAAAAATACACAACCCAAAAATCATCTATGTTTTACACATCATTGTTTTAAAGCTAGTTTAGTAACCTCTAACTAAATTCAAAGCGCCAAAAAATTAATTTAACTCATATATATTAATACATGATTAAAATGTAAATGAAAACCAATATATACAACGTCTCTTCATATGCGGAATAGGAAATACCAGCACATCAGGATCATCTCGAGCGACGGACAATCTGTTTGATGAAGGCAAGTCCAACTCGCATACCCTTGGTACGAATACATACTCTAATCAGTTATTTCATATTTTAAATTTTAGAAAATTTTATGGGAATTTTTCACTCACCAACAAAACATTGAAAACGTAAAAAAATCGATGTTCAGAAATACAATACAGCGATGTTTTAAACATCGATGTTTTGAAAACATCGATGTTTTTGTAGAAACATCGTTGTTTTTCGAAACATCGATATTTTTGTAGAAAAATCGTTTATAGAAGCATCGTATGTTTTTATAGAAACATCGATGCTTTGAAAACATGGCAACCTCCCTAGCGCAGTGCAGTGCGGAGCGGCGCCGTGCCGGCCGCGTACCCACCCGGGCAGTCCCTGTCCGCCTGCATGTAGGGCGGGCGGCGCACGCGGGGAGGGTCTGCGTTGGGCGACTCGACGAAGGCGTAGTAGCCCTCGGGCGGCTCCTGGGCGCCGGCCCCCAGCGCCACGGCCACCACCCACGGCAGCACCAGCCACGGCAGCCGCCGCCTCCGCCGCCCCACCTGGCAAGACATACGACGACAAGATGAAATTAGGGCTGCAGGACAAAACAACAACTCTCGTAAAAAGACGGCTCCACACGTTCGTAATTCGGCGAGTAGCGAGCAACCGCTCGCCGAATCCCGAGTAGTGTGGATGAGTTGCTTGCTATTTGCCGAGTGACGAACATTCGGTGTTCGCCCTATCCACCACGTGACGGACTTTAGGACACATCAAAGTGAGCGAACATTCGCCGAACACATCAGCTGTTCGGAATAGTGCGAGCAGAAGCTCGCTGATCGGCGAATGCCGAATGTGTGGAGCCGCCTTAACACAACAGTAATTTAAATATTTTCACAAAAACCGTCTTCATGAACACTGCAATAACAATTTTGTTATATAAAGAACTCTTGTACAGACGTACAACTGTTCTTTACATACCGAAATTATCAAAAAGTTATTGTTACATAACGCAACACGTTGAATAGCAAATTTTTAATACCGAGCGGCCTCTTCCTTGTTGATTTGCTGTCGCATAATGTGTGGCACATTTGTGGGTATTTCCATCTAACACGTTTGTGTTTTAGTTATGCAAATTTATAATGAAAATAAATTTTAAACATGGTGCAGTTGCCCGGTACATCCATCGTCGCAAGTATTTACAAATTGCATTGTATTATTAAAATGTTAAGTTTAATTATTAAAATTAGATGCTCACAACACTCTCCTCCCAACACATGTTTTTCGAGAATGCTCTTATAACGTTCGGATTTGGGAAAAAAGTGAGTTCCCAACCCACAGTTCGAGACGCATCAAATGATATCTCTCCTGATCTAAACGGTGGACCCAACCCAATGACGTCTAATCGTAACTGGGGAACACATTGATATACGCAGGTTACCAAATTAGGCGTGATGGATTTGACACGCACATAGCAGTGTCGGCTTCTAACTTCAAAGGTTAGTGGTTCACAAACTTTGCCCGACTGGTTCACAGAAAATGTGGCGGGATGACAGAGTTTCTCAGACACTTAAACGTTTATGATATACCAACAAGTTTACTGCGCCCAATTCATAGCTTTCTCATGCAATTTGCTCACCTCTATCACCATTGCTTTTTGAACTCTCATCATCGGGTCACGGAGTTTGTACGTGTGTGAATATACGAAAGCAATTTAAAAGTCATTCTCATGATCGGTCTAACAACCCTGATCGCCTACAAAAATTGTTTGGATCTTGACTTAACAACATGGTCTTGTATGGCCCTCGGTGACCTACTCCGCTCTTAGCCAATGATTTGGCACAGCTTATGCTTTGGCATTGTGTCTTCCATGTTGCAATGCGGAGTAAACCACCAGGCTAGAGTGGTCACGCATGTTATTTTCACGCGCCTAATTTGCAGGTAATGCAATAGAATTGCGATGCGACTATAATTCAGGAGAATAATTATAGAAATGAAACATACAATAAATATATTTAAATAACCACATTTTTGTTGAAGCGCAAACAAAATACAGTTGGCACGAGCCGCCACTAGCCCTAAGACCATTGCTCCTCAACACAACTCACTGAGTGTGTTTACCAGCTTTAAAAAGGTAAGGTCTGATAAGGTGATGTTGCTGCAGTGGACGATCGGGAATGAGAGAGTGGTGACGGTCAAGCATGTAAAGGGATGGTCGATCGAGCGGAATGAAAGGCATTGGAAATGAAATCAATTTCATGAGACGACAGGGATTTGTAACCAACCTAATTGGAATCCGACAATCGTCTCATGAAATTAATGAAAAGAAGTGGTGTGAACCACTAACCTTTGAAGTCCTTTGCGCCTTAGTTGTTTGAACAGTGATTTAGGTCGCGTCAACTGCTAAGGTCATTAGTGCATTAAGTGTTGTGCATGCTTTCTCCTCGGTAGGTGGCAACCTCTTAACTGGTCTCCCGGCATGTGAGGTAGTGTAGTGCATGTAAGTGTGTGTAAAGGGTGTGGATAGAACAAGGACGAGGAAGGAAAGATCGCGCGCGGTCTGTGCCCCATTTGTTAGGGTACTCCTCCGGCATTTGCCTGGAATTGATCGGAAAAACACGGAAAACTACCGATCAGAGCAGCCGGCCGCTAGAAATCTCCTCCAGACTGCGACTGAATTTAACCTAGTGTCGAAAATCCTGGCACGGTTGGGAGCCGAACCTAGGACCTCCCGGTCAGAGGCACTACAGTGACATATGGCGAGCTGCACTGCGTGCCCTCCTCGCCACTGCAGCTGACGATCGGTGGACATCCTCCACACAAGGCCAACGGGCAACAAGTATCGCGTGCTACTTCATTCCGAACGGTCCCCGTTCTGCCCTCGGTCCCTGCCATCTCTCCTCCTCCGTCCGACGTCTCGCCCCCGCCTCCGCCCCGTCCCCGCCCCGCCCCCGCCCCGCCCCTCCTTGTCTCCTCCTCCGCGTCTGCAGCGCCACACTCTGCACCAGATGTGCTCCGCTGTGGGGCTTTTTGCGGGGCGGCAGTGTACTTGCGATTCGAAAGAAAGAGGTCCCGTGAACCGTAGTATTTTCTGCTTTCTGGAGCGTCACAGAACGGGATTCGAGCCTCGGTTGCGCGAGTGAAGAGTGAAAGGAAATCTCCTTATGTGCTTTGGGAATGCCTTACGGAACCAAATAATATGATTATACTGTACATTTTTAAGTTGTATTATGAAACACGTAATTGCGAATAAGTTTACACATAAGATGGAACATACTTCAAGTTTGTCCATGATTCAAACATACTGCACTGTCAATTCGTGTCCCATAATTGAACAAATTACGACGGATTTCAATTTGAGTCTTTATGTCACCTCAGTTTATGGTTGATGTTGATTTGATTTGTAAATGAATTCTAAATATTGTCACTTTCTGATATTACGTACGTTAGTAAATTATAAAACTTTGTTAAGGAGACGGTGAACTTCTGATATCTGAATAATCTGCCGTTTAGCTACACCTTTGTTCATATTGTTATTGCCCTTGAACAATGGGAGTAAATGGCATTATGATAGAACTAGTCCAATTACTTCTGGGAACTTGTACATTACATGGAGATTAATTTAGCCATCTAGTGAGAGAATCAGAGATTTTCTTAATTGTTTGTTGTGTATTACCTTTTGTTTTCTAGAACGAGCAGCACTCCTAACGGAGGTAAATGACATAAAATCTACTTTACTCAGACGTCATTTCCTTTGTTTCAAATAATATTTTCTCATACTCCAGTAATGGGGGTCAAAGAAAGCTTATCATCTGATGATGCTGGTTATATGATAGTTTGAAAGAATCGAAAGGGTCAGTAGTTCAAGAGTGCTATCCCACATTGTGAAACTGAGTTATTAGCATTATATATAACTTCAAATGTTCTTTTAGTGTAATATGTTATTTAAATCCAGTATGGACTTATATCCAAGTGTAATGTGATCAAAGTTTTTAAATTTTTTATTTTAAAAGTTGTAGTGAAACCCTTAATATCTCAGAACTAGGGCGATGTGCAATAGCCCCTTGTTCTACCGAGCCCTTCAATTTAATCGTTTATTTCAGAAACCCGTCAAACGCCAAAATCGAAAACATGCATTAGCGGCGAATTATTGCCCCAGGAGGATAGTCACGTCTTATAGTGTATTTTTATATGAAAAATATTCATTTATCAAATCCTTTAATACAAAAAAATTTTGAAATTGAAAAATTGGGTGACATTTTCAGTTTTCTCGAAATGAGGAATTTGGCGTTTGACAGGTTTCTGAAATAAACGATTCAATTAAAGATAAACGCTTTTGTTGTTGTGTTCGTCATGATGACAGCTTCTGACAAAAACATGTTGGAAACCTCAGATAACCAGTACAGTTGGGGCTTTACCGGTTAGTCATAATTGTAATAATATCCATTGCTGCAATTATATTTTTCTAAGGCAACACTCCCAAACGTGGTAACCCGTTCACAACAAATAAATCATATTTTGGATGTATCCAAGAGCCCCAAAAATTAAATGTTGCCAATTCGCACCCCAAGTTCATGAGAATATTAGATACGTGTAATCATGCGGGTCGGGCACTGAAATGGTGACCCAGAAACCATTCAGTACCTTCTCCCTTGATGCTTAAAGAACGGGATCGTGCACCTCCGCGATTCAGCCTTCAGAAACCCCCTTCACCTGCCATCTCCATATTCTCGGAACACAAAGAAATGACGCAGCGCTCATTTTCTGTCTCCCCCCTCCCCCCTCTGGGTGACAAATAGTGTTAAAGTGTCGTGCGACGCCTGCCGGGGCGCGAGCACGTCCTCAGTTCTCCGCCTCCCGCGCCGTCGACGCCTCGCTGTGGCGAGTCCCGTTATCACGACTAACGGCGCGCGGCTCCAGCCACGCCGCCTATGACAGACGGCGCGCCGAGGCGGCGATGGGGCGGAGGCCATGGGGAAGTGTCCTGCCCGCCCTGGACCCACTGAAACGACGGGCAGGGAGAGGTTCAAGTGACAACAACTGTCAGTCAGTTGAGACGGCGAGAGTGGTGAAAATAGCGAAGCTGCAGGGTGGCGGTTGTGAGGGTACAGGTGCTAAGATGTGACGTAACCCCGGGAGATAAATCTGTTGACGTTGGCAGAAGAATTCAATTAGGAAGCCAGAAACGCTTCGAATAAAAAACCCATTACGAATGTGTTCAAATGTCACCATTCCTTCAGCAAAAGTTTGTTGCGGATCTAAAACCATACCCAGCAGTATCTGGTTGCACGAATCGTGTTTATCGGTTTTACTTTCCTCGGATGGAAACATGTTTTATATTTAAGATAGTTTTCAATGTTTCAAGCGTCTTGTTCGGTCAACATTATAAAGAATATTGTTACTCAAGATACTTATGTTATAACTCGTGTTCTTGTCTACGAAGAAAAGGATATCTCCAAAGGCCAAATGGTCAACCACACACGTCTTCTTACAGCAAACGAGAAAGATGTCAACTGTAGACACAACTTGTCGGTACTGGAAAACAGGTTCCCCGCCAGTCCTTGTGTCTACAAGATCTTTCTCTCTACTCAATCTGTTCTTGGAGTCAGTGTGACACAATTTTTATGAAGGATACGAAGTCGTCCTTTGAAATATAAAATTATTTTATATCTCTGCAGCATGGTAACATTTCGTAAATGTGTTTGATTAAAAAAAGTCGAGATAAAAGAGTTTCCTTGCAGCAAAAAGTAGAGAATAATTATAGAGTAAATACATGTGTATGTATTTTATAACCGAATTCAATTCCGCCATCCGTTCACCTTGCAATTGAGTATTTATAACGTATACGATTTTATTAATGTTTTACACTTTTAATTATAGCCGCTATATTTTTTAATTTAATGTATACAAAAATGAAAAATTCCTATTCTTGAATTAGCCACAACCTTTTTGCTTACTGAAGTAAACTGAATGTTTGATTAACATGAGATACACTCAGTAAACGGTTGGTTACATTTGTGAATACGTCGGCTTCAGTAATATTCCCTTGCAAGCCCCAAAATTCGTAATTAGCTCGTATTAATTTGTAATCAAGTATATCTTCATTTCACCATATTGAGAATCCGTTTGTCTGAAATAAGAGTCATTACTTCACTATCTCTGCTCCTTCTTCCTGGGGGAAGTCATTACCTTCTCTATCAATCACTTATCAATGACTTACTTCACGTGGTGAGGCTCAGGCCATCAGACCTGCCCTTCTGTCTGACCAGGTAGATTTCGTCATGTTCCTTTCTCCATCTATCTCAGAAAGATAACAACATTCGGGCGTCGAAACTGGCGGTTTGAGTTTAGTTTAGTGACTTCTTTTAGGTTTGATGATCTTTTACATGGAGTAAATATCCAACATAGGACAGTAGGCGTTACGTCTCCCCTTAGGAAGGTGTACGAAGGATGTTTTCGCCCTTGGAAATCTAACTTGGGTATTGGTTGTGGGTATAACTGTCCGGTATACCAACCGTTATACCACTGAAACCACAAAGAGAAAATAATTTTGTATTGGGATTTACCGTTTAATTGATGGCTATTTACTCCTTGCGTAGTATTTTAATATCTGAAACGTAGTAAAATATTTGATTATTCTACAAATCGCAAAAGAAAATTGCAGAAACGATT